GCAGGGGAAACCGAAGTACTCGGAGAAAACCTACCCCAGCGCCACTTTGTCCACCACAAACCCCACTTGACCAGACCCGGGATCGAACCCGGAAACCAGCGACTAACCGCGTGAGCTATATCGCGCCAGAAAGATTAGTGTTAGGAATCCTTCCTTACGTCATTACACTTCCACTTCACTTGTCTCCTTTATGTCCCCAATGTTCTCCTTGGAATTATTCTTCCAAACTGACTTACGTGTAAGTGATAATGGTATGTTACAGTTAGCGTTGTCGAATTTCTGGACTTCGTCCATCATCCAGTGCTCCGAAGAGAACATAAGTTTCCAAAACCATATCTGTTTCAGTCCCTTAATAAAAGAAAATATCAGTCACCGGACCCGCGATAACGGATCTAACTGACCGTCTTACCCTCTTTCACCGAGAAAGAAAATGAATCCAGTTTCCGAAAGCGTGTGTCCTGTTCGGAATTCCAAATTTAGCCAAAGTCCGGGAACCACTAATCTTGGGCAAGTGAAAGTAAAGTTATCGCTGACAGGCCGTGGAGACCCATAGGGTTGTGAGACGTGGGGGCTCCCACACTTTCCAGACAATCGGTAAGGTTGTCAGGCTTACGCGCCGGCCACCCTTTACCCCCAGAAACAGTCGTGGTACTCACTTCGATAGTGCGGCTGGAAGGATTAGGTAAAATGAAAAATTCAATGACTTGATCGGGAATCGAACCCGCGACCTTCCGGCTTCTAAAAGAGTGCTTCAACCAAGGTACCTCTGTCTATATTCTTCGCATGAAAGTATAATTTATTTTAATCTTTAGGTACTTAGAATATGTATTGGCAGAATTTTATTAGTGAAGTAATATCACTGATTCAACAACTTAACGTGAAACGCGTCCTTCTACAACTTGCATCCTCTTAATCTTATTTAAAATTCATATACAGTGCACTACGACCTCCTCTGTGCTCTAGTTGTCAGAGTTCCTGGCTACAGATGCTGAGATCCAAGGTTCGATTCCCGGCGCTATCAGATTTTCTGAAAAATAGTGGGTCTGGAACGGGGTCCACTCAGCCTCGTGATGAAAATTGAGGAGATATTTCAAAGAAATAGCGGCTCCGGTCTAGAGAACCGAGAATAACGGCCGTGGGGATCCGTTGCGCTGACCACGCGACACCCTCTATTCACAAAAGTTGGCATTAACTTCGCCGACAAGCGGCGGTCGCTCGGTCGGTATAGTTCGCTTGCGGATTACAGGCCACGGAGTTTTTTTTTTGTACATTGTACTACATGTTTAGAACGACGTTGTTCATAATCATGTGTTTAAAATTGTTGGGGGAAACTGCTGTGTTTTCGTTGTGAGGTTCTGATATTTGATGTGCAGTCCCATATACGGCCTCAGCAGTTCTCGTCAACAATTTTAAACACTCGATGATGACCATTGTCAGTCGAAACGAATAGTGCAATGTACAGAAACTTTTAAATAATGTTTAAAAAGACATATTTTGTGTATGTAAGAAACTATCAAATAAATTTTATAAGGACGCGTTGCACGTTGAGACAGTGAACTAGTGACATCTGTTGAATAATAAGTGATGTTCAGTAGGATGCTACAGTATAATACCACGCAGAATTTTATACTTTTTGCTTTTTTTATATATAGAATGGCACAGAAGTTGCCTAACCTAAAACATTCTATCGTATTAATGCGGGTTTTCAGATGTAAACCTGCAAGTCGATATTTAGAATGGTGTCACAGCGTCACGAGTCGTGTGCTGAACGTTGAGAACCTCATTTCGAACAGTTTCTATAATCCAGCAAGAAATAAAGTAATTTATAATGTATTTTAGTGCACATTTCACTAGCAATTTTAGCTATCCTGCATGCAAGACGAAAAAATTAGCTAAAATTATTGAGGATTCACGTGATTTTGACAATTTCCATAATAAAAAACAAATATTTTTGGAATGCTGTCAGTGTGTCTGCCTGTATGCTCGTCTTAATAACGCCTGATTGGATTATTCATACTCGGTATTTAAGAAATTNGCAAGTCGATATTTAGAATGGTGTCACAGCGTCACGAGTCGTGTGCTGAACGTTGAGAACCTCATTTCGAACAGTTTCTATAATCCAGCAAGAAATAAAGTAATTTATAATGTATTTTAGTGCACATTTCACTAACAATTTTAGCTATCCTACATGCAAGACGAGAAAAATAAGCTCAAATTATTGAGGATTCACGTGATTTTGACAATTTCCATAATAAAAACAAATATTTTTGGAATGCTGTCAATGTGTCTGCCTGTATGCTCGTCTTAATAACGCCTGATTGGATTATTCATATTCGGTATTTAAGAAATTGAATTTTTTATATGTAGACCCATTGTTAGAGAAAGAGTGACCAAGACGTTTCCGTAGAGAGGTTTCTTGGAAACCAAATCGTTACGGAATAAGTTTCCGTGGATACGAGTAATCAACAAACAGGCTTTTCCGTGGATACGAGCGATCAACAGGCGTTTTCGTGGATGCTGATACGCTGTATAAAAGGCCGTTCAGCTCAGAATGGAGCCAGTCGTAGTGCAGTCAGAACGGAGTGGGTCCTAGGCCGTCATGGTGGGTTCTAAGTTAGTGTGATTATGAGTTATTCTAAAGGAGTGATCAGTAAATCCAATAATCCTATTCAAACCCGTTACTATTAGTCACGCCCATAAAACGTAACAATATCATAGTTTGGTACTCCAAAGATAGAAACCCTTCAGATGAGCCCCGAAAGCAACACTGTGATTTTTCTTTCAAAAGACTCTAATAATTGTGATTAAATTGCAGTCGTGTATGGTGATATTTCCCAGAAAAGATTATGTTGGTGTCATTCTCAGAAATATAACAGTACGACCTCTAGGGACCCCAAAAGCAAAATGGCAGTTTTCTCAGAAGCAGTTGTCATGGACTAAAGGTAGTTAAGAATATTAATATCCGAGAAGGCTATACGGGAAAATATATGCAATGCATTTACACAGATTTTGTGGTATACTCACCCATGAGTAGTCGCCATATATACTTTTGTGAGCGAAAACGTAGAAGTAGGACTTTGGATTGGCACTTGAATGGAAGTTGGCTGTCTGGACCATAGGGGCGGCAGCACGAGCGTCACTCAGAATGTCCAGCAGGATGTCCCGGTTCGTCTCTGCGACGGAGCGCGTGGATTCATTTAACTGACGCCTGATTACATTGTATGCCTTTAGCGTCTCGGCCAGACTAAGTCCAGGCTCGTATTCAAAACGTTCTCGAACGTACGAACGGATCTCCTTATCGCGTTCCTGTTCCAGCATTCCGTACTGCAGCGACACGGAATCCAGCAGATCATAACTCTCCAGTTCTGTCACTCCGTACAGTAGCTCATACCTGGATGACAGAAACTGCCTGTACTTACACCGACAAGTTTTCACTTTTGAAGATGAAAAATGAATCCTTCCGCCGGGCACGGTGGTCGTGCCGTCTAAGGCATGAGGTGTCTTCGCTCACTTGAAAACGTAAGGCATGGATGTTCGTCTCGTTTGTTTTGTTTCTGTGTTGTTCTGTACATAGGTAGAGGCTTTGCGACGGGCTGATCCCCCTTCCAACGGGCTGATCCCCATTCCAAGGAGCCCTATGGACTGTGTACACGATTAAGAAATTGAAAAGCTGCCGAGACCCAATGAAGGGCCATAGTGTCATGTACAGACGGATAGGTGTGGATAGGTAGATTTTATCCTGCCGGATGAAATGTAGGATATTGATATCAGATGAACAGGAAAGTCGATAAATTCGTCCTTCATTAACTTACACACTTATTGCGCCTTGTGACGTTGACACGCACTGGAATAATACACACAGGTGCGTGATAGCTCTTAATTAAATCCACTGACGTTAGTAAGATAAATGATCGAGGAATCGTGCTCTTTTACCTGTATCGATGTCTGAACGGGCCAGTATTTCAAACCACGCTGATGATGATGTTGACCCTGTAGAATTCTCTGCGCAGATTCAGGTTTAAATAATTCCTTAAATTTTGCATGACTTGGTAGGGGTCACGACCCACAACTTGGGAAACCATTACTTGTTAAGGGAACCGATATAGCGACGTCACATTTGAGGAAGTGCATTTCACTGTCTTGGTAACCGTGCAAAATCAAATCTAGCTGGCTGAAATAGAGTGAAACCGAAGGCTAACAGAACCGTTGTCCTGGGCCCAATCATGTGTTCCGAAATTGATTTAGCGGTCACTCTTGAGAATATAACATTTGCCCTTTACACGATCCTTCGAAAATGAAATAAAATGAACTGAGATTGGATTAACGAAGAGGAGACGCGTTAGAGAAATGGCGAACCGATGATTCCACAGAAATCCATCGGAATCTGGGGATGCTATCATTTTGGTGGAAAATGCTCTTGTCATGTCCCCAAAGCTTCGAATCATAGCAAATTTCTGCCACATACAAATGCGTATTACAGTTCAAGGCATTCAGTGCTTCAGTGCACCGTACATTCTCCTCAACAGGGTCTGCTTTTTATTCTAGATTTGCGTTTGGTGGAACAAAACCGTAAATTCAACAGCAATCCCTCCCTCCAGTCCTTTAATATACGTAGAATGTTTCTACATCGTAAAATACTACTAAGCTCAGGTCGTGAACCGTAGTATTCATATACATCAGTGTAACAGATAGGCATAAAGAAAGTAAAGCTATCCCTGTAACAGGCTCTGCGGTTCCATAGGATTGTGAGACGTCGAGGCACCCACATCTTCTAGAGAGTCGGCTCACAGATGGCGGTGAGGTTGTCAGCCTTACACGCCGGCCGCCCTTTACCGCCAGGAAGATTCCTGGTACTCATTTCTGTTAGAGGCTGAGTCGACCCCAGGGCCATAGTGCGGATGGAAGGATTAGGTAAATTGAGAAATCGAATTAACTCGTAGGGAATCGAACACGCGAACCTCTTGCTAGTGATATAGTTCCTCAACCAATACCACGTGCCACAGTATAACAGATTCAAAGAGAAATTATCAATGTGTGTGTACTGTTGTTTAATCTGAAGTTTACAATACATGGAAATACATTTTGTCCTTATTTAAAGTTGGAAACATTGCTTCGCGAGCTGTTAATTTTACCATTAAACTTATATTTCTAGTAAACGTGTGCAAGTCGCTCTCCCTTGATGAAAAGCAAGGAAACCTTTTTCTCAGTACTAATGTCAACTGCATATGTATGTGCATATATACAGTATTGCATCGAATATAAGACGCCCTAGAATTTAACATCATCTAATTTTTTAGTTAACGTTTTAGGAAAAAAATTAGATAGTTGTACATTCCTCGAATTTAAGACGCACCTCAAATTGTCAGTGGGAATAATACGAGTAAAATACGTGTCATATGTTCGTAGTATATATATATATATATATATACGCATGCAGGTGCAATGTGCGATGAGGCAGCGATCCCTTTGGGCTGTCCATCTGGAAACGCCCTGCTCTCGCTTGCCTCACGCGAACACAGGCTGTAGCCAGGAGATTGCTGGTTCAGTGGGCGAAGGATCCTCTGGGTGAATCGGCCTTGTTAATGCTAATAAAAGAGTATTAAGACCTTAAATACTTACAACCGTCAAACACAACAATATTGTTATTGAGTGATTTAAAGTCAGCACTACATGTTTCGATCCTTAAAAGGTCATCTTCAGGTTTTCGTTAGATACACAATTTCATTATATTCATGTCATCTACTAACTGCTCACTTTGTATTATACTAACCATACTCTTTGTTTACATATACCTATATGATATTAAATATATAACCCAATGATGTACAGTCAATCCCTATGTATAGTTCTTATTAATATTAGTTGCATTACAATTTAAATTGCATTGAGATGGAGAGTACAAGTTTACTATTGAAAATTGAAAATTAAAACAATGATTAAATTGTGTAGCTAACGAACACCTGACGATGACCCTTCAAAGGTCGAAATGTGCGGTGTTGATATTAAATTAATGAATAAAATCATTGTTGCGTTTAATGGTTGAACATATTTAAGGTCTTTATACTTTTTAAATGTAATACACGCAACAGGTTGCTAAAAACTTGTTAATACGGCTTTCGACTTACAGCGCTGTGTCAGCACTCGATGAGCCGTGTAAAGTTCCCCATTGTTGGGTTTCTGACCCTGCGAGTTCGAATCCAACTTCTTGTACGAATATTTGTCCGCATCCATTTGTATTTGTGTTCTGTGAAAATAGAGGCCTTGTAACATGCCGGACTGTCCGTGTAAGACATCCCGGCAAATGTCTTAAATAGTCATGCATTCCTAAATTAATTTTGAATTTGAGAAAGGCAGAAAGCCTAATCTGTAAGGTTAAGATTGAAGAAGAATTCAGTTTCGTAAGAATTTATATCGTAGACGTGTATACAGAAATATCGCCAGCATATTTGTTTAAAATTAAAGCTTAGAAATTTGTATAAGAAATAAAAGGGACATATAATCGTTGGTGCGTAGACAGAGATCGGTGTGTAAAGTCTAGGTAACCACCCAATAAACCATTCCTCAAAGTAGTGGTTTTCAAAGCATGGGAAGCACCCCGCTGGGGGTTGCTGGATGTCATGAGAAAGTTTTGTAATAAAATGTAATTACTTTTTCCTGTCTCTCTTGCTCTACAGACTTTTGGACCTTGGTCGCTTTTTCAGTTACACAGTCGATAGGACTCCTTTGATGGGAGATCAGCCCATCGCAAGGCCAGTACCTATACACTGAACAAGACAAACACAAAATAAACGCACACACATCCATGCCTCAAGTGTGATTCGAGCCCAGGACCCCAGTGTCAGAGCGGGCGAAGACGGTTCATGAATTAGACCTCGAGGCCACTGTGATCGGCAGTATTTACTTAAATGTCTCAACCTTTCGTAATATTTGTGTAATCTTGTTAAATGCTAATTTGTACGACGTAAAATTGTTGACCTTAAAAAGGAAAACGGGGAAAATTTGTTCTTACAAAAACGCACAGTTGAGAAGGCGGGTGCAATGAAATATATGCTATGTAGAGACCGGATAACACTGAAATGAAATTTATGTCTTGACACACTGACCCTAATAAAATCAATGAAATGAGATGAATCTATTGTCTAATACTTACTTCAAGCAATAGTTCTGCGTTAATTTCATACCCAAATAAAGGTACAAAATTAAGATTTTCAAATAATTAACCTGCTGGATAACCTAATTCATTGCAGTCATGTGCGAAGTAAAGCACTAGCGTTGCGAAAGCCTAGTTACTTATTAAAAATGTTGCAGGAGTTAAATAACTAAAAAAGCAGAATTCGCTAATGATGTTGTGAGATGTGACGCGATATACACTGAAAGACGTTTCAGAGGGTCAGTGCGAGGCTCTTAAGCTGCAGTTCTTAACAATTAAAGTAACATAATCTTGACACCAACGCTTCACTACGCGTATTAACTTGAATTTTATTTGGAATAAAGTCGTTTAATTTATTTGAGAGACAGTTTTATGTATACTAAGTAACTGCCCTCCAATCGAGTTATCGAAACTGAAAGAAATTGTAGATATTCCTGATAAGTGACTAGTTCTTTAGTTTCTTGGGGTGGGGTGAGACAGTCCACTTGGTACGTCGGCCACTAACTGGAATATTTTACCAGCCCGGGATGATAGATGATGATCGTGGAGCAGTCGGTGGTATGAGAATTGGCAGGAGAACCGAAGTATACGAAGGAAACCTGTTCCAGTATCACTTATTTTACCACAAATCCCACATGAACTGACCTGGGCTCGAACTCGGGTCACAGCGGTGGGAAGCCGACGACTAATCACCTATATTATAGCTCGGACAATGTTAAGTAATTAACAAAGAAACAACATTCATATTTAATCAGAGTAAACATTACAAGTTTATAGATTTTTTGTTCGTATTTGACCTTCCTCTCTTTCGATAATTATTTTTACTAATATTAAAATTTTGATTTGGTTCATCCGGGTCCGTCGCACTAACAATATTATAACAGTTTATCAGCTCCGCCCAGTATGACTGATAAATGTTTTTCCGCCTGTATTTATATGTCCTTTTGAAGATGGTTTCTCAGACCGAAACAAATTAAGGATGAAAGATTAAAAAGGAGAAAAAGAAACATTTATCAGTCACACTCGACGGAGTTGATAACCTTTTATAATAATATTAACTCTTTATCTATTATCCTACATAGAGTTGGATAAAAGGCCAAACTAGAGCATTATTTATGTTATATCTATCATCATCATCACCTGCTGAACAAATCCTTGTACACTCCTGTGAGATGAAATGGATCGTTAGGCACAACGCTGCCATCTACCATCGGTCCGAATCGGGTTTTGTACTCCGGAACTCGCACTTCGACGCCCATAATCTCATCCAGCCTCCTCTTGCGAAGGCAGGAGGCCATCTCGTTGTTGGTCTCCGTCAAAGGGCAGTTTAGGGCTTGAGACACTTGGATGGTGACAACTGAACTCGTTGTCAGAGCCCAGTCCGCCAGGGCTGTCCCGCTCATCAGAATAGCCCGATGGAACAGCCACGATCCTAAACAAAAGCAAGGTCCTTTATTCACCCACGTGTGGACATTTCTGTGCCATTACAGACGTACATCGTTCAAAGGCTCTGGTCACTTCATCTTTCAGAAATTCCGGTACATTTTTAACATAAGAATATTTGAAAATTTTCGTCTCGTGTTGGTTGAAAATTCAAGAGAGCAAAAACAATTCTGAGTTATGGAATTATATAACCAAATGATGACGCATTATACCTAGGAAGAAAATAAGATCTAAAAGTTTTTGAGAATGCTATAAGAATACAAATATTGACTTGTTGTACACTATCAGTAGTCCTCATTTTCTTTTTTTAAAAAAGACGCTTCGGAGACTGGATTCTGTCTTCGTTCAGAAGTTCAGTAATTGTACTAGGATGGAAAGTTTAACGTAGCTTAACATATACGTCAAATAGCAATTTATTGCAACAGAAGAGCTTTAGGTACCTCAGCCAGCGAAGAACAGTATTGTTATGTATGAAGGGTACAGTGACTAATATTAACGGGTTCTGGATTGGATGATTTGATTTATTGACGCCTTCGTTTACAATCTCTCTTATTCACAATCAATTACAGCTCTACCGCTAACCTACCGACTTCAGAAATCCCTAGGACACGCTATGCATTTCCTGGCAATGGATATATGAGAGGAACTATCACTTCAAATCACAATTAAGTCTTATTGCCGTTTCTTGTTCAACCATCTTGGAATGCCGATCCTCCACAACTCGACCCAATTCTCCAATTCTAATTCTCTGATTTCCCTTACCTCCAAGTCCAAGTCACATTGCGACTGACGGTCGGTCGGTCGGTCGGTCGGTCGGTCGGTCCGTCGGTCGGTCGGTCGGTCCGTCAGTCGGTCGGTCGGTCGGTCCGTCAGTCGGTCGGTCCGTCAGTCAGTCAGTCTTGGTGTCGAGCCACATCTGGGGCTCATGACCAGATATTTGTTACTGTTTGGCATTTACGGTCTTGTTTAGTGGGGCGCCCTCTCTGACGAGAGGACGGGCCTGCCTTTTGTATATGCTGCTGGCCCTTGCCAGTGCAGTCTTTCTCGAGTCTGAGTCCCTTGGGACTCGCGATCATATTTTACTGTCTCAGATTTGAGACTTCCGTTTTTGTCGCCTCCTACGACTCGCAGGTTCCCGGTGGAGGTATTTGATCCCGCCTCCACACCGGGTCTTCTCTCTCTCTCTCTTACCTACAGATATGCACTTATTATATAGCTGCGACACGGATCACATAGAATATATATACAGCTCCGTTGTATAGCACTGGACATGCCCCGGACTACCTAGAAAATACTTCTTCTGTTGTCAGAATTGTTGTGCATCCTAGCTACTAGTTGTAGTATGGTCCACAGAGAACGCAACTCCTACTGTTGCGTGTTCTCGGGAAAGTTTATTCTCAGTCGTTACCTAGCAGTGGTCATGTTCGTCACAGTATTTTGTCGAGAACATTCAAGGTTCTCTTTTAAATCATACATACAGATTCAAACATAATAAGTACATTTATTCCTGTGCCTAAATCCCGTATAATGAAGGTATACAAGGGATTTAGGAAGAATCCTCAGCACAATCTTAATGTATACTCTAAGAGTTTAAATTACAGTCGTCACTGTATCTGACGGGACACGCCGTAGCATAGGTAATTGAGGCACTATGCTACAAGCCGGAAGGTCGCGGTTTCCATTTCCCACGAGGTCATTGAATCTTTTAATTAAACTAATCCTTCCAGCCGCACTATGGCCCTGGGGTCGACTCAGCCTATAACAGAAATGAGTACCAGAAATATTTATGGCGGTAAAGGGCGGCCGGAAAGTAAGGCCGACAAACTCACCGCCATCTGTGAGCCGATTATCTAGAAAATGTGGGAGCCTCGATGTCTCACAACCCTATGGACCTCCACGGCCTGTTACAGGGATACCTTTACTTACTTTACTATTGCTGACACCATCTCTAACAATAAGAACCTCATTATTTTGCCCCCCAAAAGTATTTTGGCCCAGTATTTCGAATGATTGTGAGTAGAAGCCTCTGTGGTCTAGTGGTCAGATATATTGGCTAGAGATCCAGAGGTCCGGGTTCGATTCCCGGCGCTGCCAGATTTTCTGAGAAGTATTGGGTCTGGAACGGGGTCCACTCAGCCTTGTGAGGATAATTGAGGAGCTATTTCAAGGAAATAACGGCTCCGGTCTAGAAAAATGAAATTAACGGCCGTGGGGATTCGTTGCGCTGACCCCGCGACACTCTCTATCCATTAAATTTGGCACTAAATACGCCGACAAGCTGCGGTCGCTCGGTCGATATAGTTCACTTGCGGACTACAGGCCACAGAGTTTGTTTGTTGTGTGAGCAAGGTGGGAAGTAGTTATTAACTCCCAAATGGTATTAAGCAATATTTGTACCTTCGTATTTGAGACACAGTCTTTATCTAGTTTTCTCAAAGCTGAGAGATAATACTCCTAATAATGCGGTAGCTCACCGATGTTTCGGCGTTTCCGGCGTCGAATAATAAGCCAAAAATGTAACCAGAAAAGGGCCTCGTGTTTTTCTATATTCCTGGTTACTTGCTTGGCAGTAATCCGAGATTTATATATTTAAGAGCATCGCATAGGATACAAGGAAAAAAATGTGACATGTCATCAAAATCCGGGCCCTGGTGAACAGCAACTGTGAAGTTGGTGGAATGAGAATTCAAAGCACTCGGAGATAACACGCCCCAGTGCCGCGTTGTCCTCCACGAACCCCCACACGTAGTTATTTGTCAAGAGAAATTGTTGCCACATACCGTCAGTGCCTTGAGAGACGGGTGATACCATAAGGTAGTTCACACATGCGGCTCCAGTCCCATGTCCCATCAAGGTCACGCTTCCTGGGTCGCCGCCGAACTCTTGTATGTTTTCTTTAATCCACTGCAGTGCTGCAATCTGGTCTAGAAGCCCGAAGTTGCTCACCGTGTGATCGCCCACACCAGGGCGCAAGAATCCTGCAACGCGGAAAAACTGCATGTATTCCACAGCTACAACTGTACTGGGTTTGAACCTAGCTATCCTATCAGCTGTATTTACTGAGGTTATCACGGAGTATCTTAGTGTTATTGAATCAGGCCACGGCGTCCTCCACCCCAGTCTTACGGACTCATTGTTCCTGAATATTTTTATATTTTATCAGACGCTCTTTAATCCATATCTGTGAATCCGTATTATAAAACAACTCGAGGAAACTGGAGACAATTTTAGCCTACCTTCATTCTTTGTGCAGGAGGCGTTTGTTTCAACTGAACCCTTGTGATCATCGCCTTCTCTGACGAGATGATGGGTTGTCTTATGAATACGCTTGGCCTTTCGTCAAGTGTGCGTATAACACATTACTGAAAATTCTTCTTTTGCGCTGTATAGTCCTCTGTCAGGCCAGGCTTTGCAAAGCAGATCATGCCTATCTTAGGTATCTTATGCTGCAACGGCAGCTTAGTCACGTAAAAGATCGTAAGCTTGAGCACCATCAGGATTAAGCCTCTTATATTTCTGACATTGTTAACTGACTCTCTCAGTATAACCACTTTGCATCAGAATGGAATTCACCATTTTCCAACAGTACCCCTAATATTTAAAATTTTGAACCAGCTGACCTATTTCTTCGTATTTTCGTATGAAAGTCATGCCATTCGATATCATATGAACTCCATATTTTGTATTTATTAGAGTCAGTAACAATATAACGGACACACAAAGTTTTGAGGTGGAAGCCACACTAGCGATACCTTCTCCAGGATCATGATACTGTGACGTATTTACTCCATGCAAGAACTGTTGATCCACAGAAACAGCCGTTGCTAAGTGATACACGCACGCAACCATAGAACAAAGGGATTATGCAATCCGTTTCTGGGCTCCGTAAACACATTTCCTCGTTTTCAGACCGAGCTATGCATCGCGGTGACATCATCAAAAATGCAGATTGTTTTCTGTGGGGTCTGTGCAGAGTGCTTATAGGAGAAGTGAATTCAGAAACTAGGAGCAGTTGAGAGTAGAAGGACGAGAATGGAGCGTGTCCTTAGTGAATTGTGAAGATTAGTTGAGTGAAGAGTAGGACAGAGCAGTACAGAGTAATTGAAGACGAAATAACAAGAAGACTTCATAGTGATTTGAAGCTCTAGTTTCTGAGTTGAGATACGTTGCCAGGAGACGACTAGGGAAGACTGGGAATCCCAGTGCGTGTGCAACGGTGAACTGGCAAGTGTTTAGAACAACGACAGCTTTGTAATTGAGTATTAAATATAATTAAGAGAGAATATAACCGAAATGCGAGTAGATCAAATCATGCGATCTATAACCCGTTATTTTCGTCATGCGAACCTCCATACACGTGACTGTATGACAGATGGCAATGGATCTGGGAAAAATATGCGTTGTGTAACACAATTTTGAAGAATGCGAAATATGAAGATGGCGACCCTGCAAATGTACTTTTTAACTGTCGATTTTATGGCTATATAAGTAATGAACAGTTTTAGGCGGCTATGAATGTTTTGTTACAAAAATCATGGATAGGCATATACAATATGATTCTAAATGATTGTCGGAGTTTCCGTGGTCTGCAATAAAGAAAGCGCACTCAAAGAGCTTTTTTGGTAAGATGGTGCACCCCCACATTTGGAATGACATGCATTTTCCTGGGAGCTGGGTTGGGCGTGATGGACCAATTCCGTGGCCCCCACGCTCACGCCATATTACGCCGCTTGATTTCTTCCTGTGGGGATATGTTAAGGACATTGTTTACAAGACCCCTGTCACCTCCCTCGATGAACTGAAGCTCAGAATTGTTGCTGCGATCGAAACAGTCACACCGCAAATGCTGGAGAACACTTGGAGCGTAACTGTAAACCGCTTGGAGATCTTGCGTGCCACGGAAGGCGCGCGTGTTGAAGTTGTTTAGCTCTGTGCAGTATTGATTCTACAAGTAATAATACTTTTTGAGTTACATTTTCATATTTTATAAGAATTTATATTTTATAACATCTGATTTAAAAAATTATAAACAACGGAAACCCCGACAATAATTTAGATTCACCCTGTATGTTCCTTGTAAGTCAGCAGTTTAGGACATGACGATGGTAAGTACGAAAAAACAGTGAACATACATATTCTTGAATAATAATATTTCCGTAAATTAAATAAATTAATAAATAATAGCAATAAAGCTGCGAAATCACAAATCTATGCCATAGGAAAGCAAACATTATGAATTTTGTTTGAGGTTCTTTGTTATATTTCCCTACGCCATACACGTGTCTTGCAGAGACGTGTTTCCTTCAGGTTCATCGCACAAATTTATGTATAATCAGTTTCTCCTGTGAAAATCTGCGCTACGGGTTAGGCCTCTCTTATGCTTCTCTACGCAACAGCCCCAATAACACAAGGAAGAAAATCAAAGTATGAATTTCTTCGTCATCTACGAGTAATTGGCCCTAACCCCTGTATCTGCCTAACATGCAAGTAACCTCTACAACACGTTGCTTTATGTATCCCTGAAGAAAGTATGTATATCTGCATATGTACACAGCATTAGGTCCGCTACATGTAAATATAACAGAGCTGCAAATCTTTTATGTTTCAAAGTGACTGTGAAAGTTTTACAAAGATATTTCAAAGTTAAAACTTCCGTCTGGCCCAGTTACCAAACTACCGACATACTTGTTTATTTATTTTGTTTCCTTGAAAACTTCTTCTGTTCAACCACTTATCATATTTTGTTCCGTATATATTTGTGTTTCTGGTTTCGTTTAAGAGTACTGTGAGTTATTCAAGTTGTGTCTAAGATAAAAATAAGGCTAATATTAATGAATAAAGAAAGTATTTAAGTATCTGAAAAGTTAAAGAATTAGAATGCGACTCTTTGTCTTCCTTGGAGCGCTGCAACGGTTTCTGGACAGGTCCCAAAGTTTTAGAGACCCTGTAATAGCGTCCCTGCGAGCAGCTCGAAAACGGGGATTAATTTAGCCCTGTGCCGGAGCCAATATCCGAATTTATTAGGCTTCAGGATGCTAATCCTGAATCGGTAGGACAGGGTGAATAAAATATTATGTTCCTTTTCAGTAAATTATACATAAGGATAACATGTATTTTTCACGAAATATTCCATTAGTGGGGCGATTAAATCAAGGCATACATGGGGAGACTGGAAGTGCACAGGTCTTTAAGGATGGGGAAGGAAAAGTGAAGGGAAGGGACCGCTTTAAAGATACTGGCGAGATTAGAACGAGAATATTAAAATTACTTTTCTTTTTATGGTTATTAAGATCTGGCTTGCATTCTTCTGGCTCAGCACGGATGCACGTAGCGGCTTGTTGTGAACATGGTGGAACTTCGGGTTCCATAAATGTAGGGTACCCCATGACCAACAGCTTCCGAAAAAGTTCTTATTGTGACATAACGCCTGAAATCCGGAATAGTTCATTCTTACGCAACGGATCGGAAAATAGATTCCCGCGGAAATGAACGTGGACGCAACAATAGATGAGCCCCTTTTCTAAGCAACTGATCGGTAAACACAACAATAAGGATATTGTTGGAAACGGCGTATTTTATTCGGAACGTGCATAATGGTTATATCGAGAGATTCAGTTTGGAAGTCAGAGCCCAGTCGCTTTCAGGACCGAGACTGAAATCCTGAACCTACTGTGTTAGAAGTATGACTGACCTGTAACCATGAGATACCGTGCATCCAGGATCGTTAAAATCCGAGAATAAAGAAGGGAAATGGGAGTAGAATAGAGAAAGTTTCAATGCTAATGCAATGTGGTCTATACATAGTAGCAGGGTATATACTTGGTTATGGATTAGATCAACATATGTACAAGGTTTATCGTGTGTAAACCGTGTTAGCTAATATGAACGCTCCTAAGTGTCTACAGTAATATATCTCATACCTGTCCTACTGCAAGTTATATGACAACATACCAAACAAGATGAATTATTGTTGTTCCTAGGCAACATATATTTTTATTAATATCCAGTTACAATACAGGTATCATTTGATATCTGATAGTTGAATAACCCTAGAGGTTATGTCCGACATACTCAAACAGAAAGTTAACTTCCAAATTTACATCGTACAGAATTTGGAACGAAACCCTAGCATGAATAATAATCATAACTGCATTCAGTATTAACTGTTAACCGTAGTTTTGGTCTCTGACATTAAGAGACGGAAGTAGACTGAAGATATTTGAGGACAGGGGACTGAGGAAAATACCTGTACCCAAGAGGAACGAAACAATAGGAGGCTTGAGAAAGCTGCAAAACAATTAGTTTCATGACCTGTACTCTTGACCAAGTATGATTAAGATAATAAGGTCAGGGAGGATGAGATTGGCAGAGATGTAGAAGCATAGTGATAGTGATATGAAGTGCTAATTTCCGTGTTGGGATCCATTGCTAGGAGACGATTAGTAAAGACAGAATCCTAGTCCGCGTGCTTCGGTGAACTGTACATTGTGTAAATGAGCCATAGCGCTGCATTTAAGTGTGATTAAGAGAACTTGAAACCAAGGTGATAATTCAATCATCCGAACTATATCCTGTTATTTTCGTCACGCTACTACCCTACACGTGACAGCACTTTTGTTCAACTCGCTGCACGTGACAGCGTCCTTGGCGGTATCACTCGAAGTTAGACTAGTGAGCTTCACATTATCAAGATTATTGATTTTAGACGGGGTTTGGATTGACAATTGGATTTATTGAACACTTACAAATCCATGGCTGCAAGTAATTATCACCGTCTCAGTAATTCACACACTTTTACAATTCTCTAGAGCACAAACTTTAGTCTTTTCAGCCTGCTGTGTCGTCACCGGTTATCGCCTGGTAACGGCTTTCAACGGCGGACGTTCCCTTTTCTTTGGGTTCCACAACTTTTCCCAGCTTCAGCTATAGCTTCTAGCAGCAACAGCTCACAACGACTGTACCGCAGCAGTCCTCTGAC